AATAAACATGGGGGTGCAGGTATCTTTTTCAATCAGTGTTTTTGTATCTTTTGGGTAGATACCTAGGAGTGGGATTGCTGGGTCGTAGGGAAGCTCATATGGAGTGTATTTTATGTCATTTCATCTTAAATGCATGTTTCTGTTCTCAAACAAAACACAACAAGATGATCATGGTTGCAACTAAAGCTTTGTCATCCAAAAGGAAAATTCCAGGAGATGGCCTTGAGGATGACACAATTTGGTTTTGCAGGAAAAGGCCTTCAAGCATGATTGCAGGACATTTCATTTCTGAAAGTGGACATTTACACCCAGTTTTCTCTACATCCCCATTTCTGACCCTTGACCCCAGTTCAGAACTGTGCAGAACTGAGAAGGTTGGGGGGGGCAGGGGGGGTGCTGAAAGCAGAAGTCGTGCCTGCAGGTTCCTACCTCTCCAGCCTGGGGGCTGAGTATGGGAATGGGAAACATTCCTGGGAGCGCCAGGCTCCTCAGCTGTGTCAGAGGCAGAGCAAGTTGGGGCTGTTAAGAAGATCGGAGAGAGATACAATCAGAAGATTCTAAGATTTCCAAAGCAGTAACAAAAGCAGACCCCGAATCAAAGTGGAGAGTAAACTTTCAAACCCTAAGAGGTAGAGGACCTGGCGCAGTGGGTGATGGGAGCAGAGTCCTTAGACAATGGAAACCCAAAGCATTTGGGGGACAATCTACTTGCTCCCAGTAAACTGTCAGTGGATACCTGTGTGCCCCGGACCTCTAGGGTGCTCAGCACCTGCCTGTCAGTGTGTAGCATTAGGACCCTGGTTCAGGTCCTGGGAGGTGTCAGCCACAGAGAGGGCCACAGACTCACCCCTGCATCTGAGCATGCTCTGTTTGAAGCCAGACCACCCACAACTGGCCCCACACACATCATGACTCTCCACCAAACTCCTCCTCAGCCAACAAGATTCAGCTCAAATGTCACTGCCTTTGCGAAGCTGCCTTGCTGCCTCTACCTGAACCAGACAGTTTCTTCTCCACTTTTCCAGCTTCAGATGACAACACAGATGACGTTTGCAAGTCACTTGAAGGTGCCTCTCACCTCTCTCCAAGCCCATGGGTCACCTGAGGGGCTCCAGAATCCAGGGCCTGAAGCTAGTGTGTGTTTTTTTAATGGAGAGACTCAGTGAATGAATGAGTGGTGTTTTTATGCAAATGTATGGCATATCTGCCTTGAGAGTGAGCAGTGGGGGGGGAGGGATGGGGATGGCCTCAGCCAGCGCAGCCAGAATGGGAGTGTTTTTCCAGTCCAACTTCCATATAATGGGAGTCTGGTTTAAGGTGAAAGAAGAGGTCAGGTCTGAAATCTATTTACTCAGAAAACACAATTTTAGAACTAACAGACTGTTGAGGTGATGAGGGGGAAGAATGAGGTTACATGTTAAGGTTTCTATTTTGGGAGGTTGAGGAGATGCTGACGTCATTATGTGGAAATGCAGAGAGATGAACAGTATTTTTTGGGAAAACATAATGAGTTCATTTTTAGACCTGTTGGGATAGGTCTAAAATAGATGGGATATTTTGGAGATGGCTAGACGTAGGGACTCAATGCTGGTAGGGAAGTCAAAGCTGAAGATACAGACTTAAGATTCATTGGATTTTATAATACAGCAATTTAAATAATGGCATAGATGGATAAAGGCATGCGTGCATATAGATTTTTTTTTTCATATAGATTTTTAACTGTGTAGAATGAGAAGAGAGAGTTGTGGAGAGAATCAGCCTGTTAGGCAGGCTAACTGCTGTAATAACCTCCAAAATCTCAAGGGTGTAACTCGAGAAGCTTTCTTCTGCTTCTGTAATAGCTCAATGCTGGCATTTGGAGGGTGACCTCCCAAAAGGTCATCCAGGGGCCCGGACTCCTTCCAGTGTGGCGCTGTCATTGCTAGGGAGGAGAGAGGAGGATCATGGAAGATTTCTGTGGTCAGATCTTGAAGGGACATCCCACTTTTGCCACAGGATTCAGTCATGTGACGGCCTCAGCACACGGGAGTCAGGGAAATGTAGTTAAACTGTGTACCCAGGAAGATAAACTGTCCCCTCTCACTGAGTGAACACCCAAACTTGAGGGCAGGATGCAGGAAGAAAGACCCACCAGAGACACCAAAGGGCCTTAGGAAAAAAACCAGAAGGAAGTGACCTCTATGGGAAAAAGTGAGCAACTCGCTTGGAGAGGGGTTTTCAGAAGCAGCTGGATTGGAGGGAGGTGAGCAGGTGCTGAGGTGAGGAGCCGGAGGCTCCAGGGAGGCCTCCCTCAGTTCTGGGCACCTGCTGTCCTCGCCTGCTCACCGGAGCTGCAGGCCTGGCTATGGCACATGCCGCAGTGAAGGAAGTGGGGAAAGGCTGGGGAGGGGCCAGGGGACGCGGCCATCCGTGGCCCTGGGGACTTCGGCAAGTAGTTTCTGATGAAGAAATGGAGGCGCAGCTGCAGGAGCTCGCCAAAGCTGGGGTGTAGCTTCCTGGTGGTTTCCTGGAAGGACCCTGGGAAGAGGGACAGGAAGGAACTTAGCTGGGTTTCTGTCATTCATAGAGCTTCTGGCTGGAATCTCACAGGTGGTCGGGTGCAGAGGAGCTGACTTTGCCCCTGATATCAACCAAGCCTGCACAGTGCTGCAGGCTCAGCTCTGGGCATCCCTGAGCAAGGGGCATTGGGGCGGGGGGGGAGGGGTGGTGAGCGGGAGGGGCTGAGCAGCTGTATTTTGGGAAACTTTAATAGGGAGCTGGGCACGTGGGCTTTGCTCTTGATCATTGGAGCCGCTTCGGAAGGCAGTGTCCCTGGGTGCCGTGGCCCTCACCCCCCAACCTGGCTGGAGCCTGCCCTTAGCATCAGCAGGCCTCATCTTGTATTTGCAGCGCCACCTGGCATTATCGGGGTCACCCGCCTCCTCCCTCTCCCCTGTTGGTTAGACTAAGTGGTTGTTTTTCTTTTTGCTGACCCAAAGGCCCTTGTGTTTACCTTTGTGGGAGTGAGAGGCCCAACCCAGGACTGGTGAGAGAGGTTCTGAGCTAGTGGCCATCGGCAGACTGCCTGGGAACAGCATTGTACCGTTTTACAGCTGAGGACACTGTGGTACCGGACAGGGTAAAAAGGTATTTGAGATACAGGGTGGGACCAGGGTGTGTGCACCACCCCGAGGCTCTCCAGCCCTGCAGGGCAGCACATCCTCACACTCACAGCCTCACTGGCTGGACCCTGGGCGTGTAAAAGAACAGGTTTCCAGTTCAGTGGGGAGAGGCCTCCTGGGTTACGCAAGGGAGCTCCTCCTCTCTGCGGAAAGCAGGCAGAGGTATGTACAGCCCCAGGGGTCCCGGAGGAGGGCAGGAGGGAGCCCGGGGCAGGGGAGAGGCTGAGAGGCCGCTGGTCGGCCCCTCCTTCCAACGCCTCTGGCAGCCCCTGCCCGGCCTCCAGCTCTCAGAGTCCCGGGTCTGAGACGTGGACAGTCACCCTGCGGCTCCCAGCTGCCATGGACCCTGAAGGTAAAGGCAATGCTGGCCTCTCTCCTGCCCCCTGCTTGCCACCCCCCACTCTCCTGGTCTCAATTTATCCTAGACGTTCACTCACCCCCCCCCCCCAAATCTCAAGTCTCCTCTCAACCCCCATCTCACTCCAATCTCCTTGAGCCCCACACACTCTTTCCTGTCTCCCAGAGTCCTTTTTTTGCTCTTCTTTCTCCTCTGTTGGGTCCCCAGCAAGCTCTGGGGAGGAAAGTGCTTAAGCCCCAGGAAAAGCTGGGGTGGGCTGGAGGAGGCATTGTATCCTGAGGGCTGAAGGGGGTGGGTAGCAGGAGCTGGAGGGGAGTAGCTCTGGACTTTGCCCCTCACCAGCCACTCCAGAGAGGAATGGAGGCAAAGTCCTGTCCTCCGCAGCAGGTGGGGGGCAGGGGTGGAGTCCCGTGATCCCTGCCACCGGAGGGGCTTAGTGTGCCAGGCTGGCGCAGAACGCCGGGCTCTGGAGTGCGGAGGCCCCTGTGTGAGCCTGGACTCTACCCGGAGTAGGCCCTGGGCAAGTCAGCTGGCTTCTTCACCTGTTTAATGACAATAATAGGTTCTGCTCACCAGGTTGTGGGCAGCAGAGGGCAAATGGCTGGACCGGGGAGGTGCCTGGCCAGAGCCTGCAGCCCACGAGGCCCTGCCCGGAGCTCCCTGCATTTCACTTCCCCCTGTGCTTCACCTGCCCCAGCTGTGACCTCCCTCCCTGGTTTGGGGCTTCCGCTGGCCCCCCACACCCCACCTCTCTGATTTGGGCATAGAACCTGCTCATAGGAACTCCGAGAAGTGGGTTAGCAATGACCTCAGCGTCAGAGCCGGGGCTCGGTCCCTCTGCACCCGCCAGCTGTGTGCCTGGACAGGCAGCTTCACTTCGCGCTTGGTAAAGTGGGGCAGGGTCTTCCCCTTGGGCGGCGGTGAGGATTATGTGAGATGCCGCACAGTGCCGAGGACACAGGTCACGTGGTAGCGATGTTGACGGTGCTGTAGATTCTTCACATTCTGAGCCCTGGCCTGTTTCCAGGACCGATTTGGGGGGAACGTTGTGGCCATCTTTACCTTTGTGATACTGCCCTGGCAGGTCAGACCCAATGTCTCCCCTGCACCAGCTCTTCTTATGGATGCATCCATTTCTTTCTGTGCCTCACCACCTTCCCGGAAACCTCAGGGTCCCTTTGGACTCCCAGCACCCCAATATCCGAACAGTTGCCAAATCCTATGGACTTGCCTCTTCCCACCCCCCGGGGGAGAGCAGCTGGCGGGGTCTCCCTCTGCCTTGCTGCCTTCACGGTGACTGGGCCTGATGTTTCACTCGAACTAGGCTGTGGGGTTGGTGCTGGTGTCTCTCGCCCTATCAGCCAGGAGGGAGTGGACAGTCCAGGGGGTGAGGCAGAGCTGGGAAAGTGGGGAAAGGAAGGAGCGAGGACAGCACTGGGGGAGCACAGGCAGAAAAGGCAGGAGGGCGGAGGCCCCAGTCAGAGCCGGCAGGCAGGGACTGCGCCGGGCCGGGCCAGGCGGGGTGCCAGGCGGGGTGCCAGGCGGGGTGCCAGGCGGGGTGCCAGGCGGGGTGCCAGGCGGGGTGCCGGTGGCCAGGCCCTTCTCACAGCCTGGCGGCCTGGCCTCCCGCTACACTTCGGTCCGGCTCACTGTCTCTTGCTCTGGCTTTCACAGCAGTTTTTCCACTTAAATCTTTCAATCAAAGATTCAGATTTTAAGCTGCCTTTTTTGGGATCATGTGACTTCCGATCAAGAGTCCTACTGGTTTCCCATGGCCTAGTGAGTAAAATCTTAACTCGTCCCTGTCATTCAAGGCCTGCGCAGCCTGGCCCTGGGCTACGGTGTGTCCTCCTTCGCTGCTCTCAAGGAGCCTAAGGCTGGGCACCTCCACCTGTGTGCACCCCACACCTCTCCCTGCCAGGCTCGGCGCTCTGCTCTCTGCCGCGCAAGCCTGTCATTGTCCAGGATCCCCCTGGTCCAGAGACGACCGCTGGAGCCTCATCCTACCGCCCTTGAAGTACAGAGACAGCTCAGCCTCCTCTGAAGCTCTGTGCATTCTTTCACCACTAGGGCAGCCCTGTTTGGAGGTCACTTCTCTAGGGAGTGAAGGTGAAAGAAAAGTACATTTATCTGGAAGTTCTAACCAGCCTTTGTCTCCATCTGGTGTTTGCCAAATGGATTAACAAATCAAGAGATGGAAGAATAAGACAGTCAGAGACAGACCCTGGGCTGGAAGACACTCGGCCAGGCGCTATCTGAATCAGCTCGTGGCCTCCTGCTCGCAGCCTGGAACTGATTCTCAGAGAGGTTAGCGAACGGCTGAGGTCTCCCATCAGGCAGGCGGGGGCCGGGGCCGGGAGCTGAGCATTTCCGACTCCCAATTGGGCCAGTTCCTGCTGCACCAGGGACAGTGCTGTGACCCTGGGTGTGGCAGCAGAACTGGGGTGTTGACAGTAAGCAGACAGTAATTGAGAAATATAATTTCGAGCTGGATTAAGTGGCAGTGTGGTGAGGTGGGAAACGAGCAGACCCTGAAACCCGCCTGCTGGGTCTATGACCCGGTACCACGCTTCTCTGCGGTGTGAACCTAGGCCCTTCCAGTGCCTCAGTCTCCATATCTGTAAAATGGGGATAATATTAGTACCACTTTGTAGAGGTGATGTGAAAATAACTGTGTTAATACTTGAAAATGCTTGCACCCACACCCAGAGAGGGGGTAAATGCCTGCTGCTGTGCCTGAGAAAGCCTCTCAAGGGGCTGCAGTTACTCTACCTAGGCCTCATTCTAGTTTCCATTAGACACCAGCAGAGCAGGCACCAGAGGTGTAAGAAAAACCTATAAAGACAAACTCTTTAAAAATGTCAATTTCTATCTATCTTTTAAAGTTAATTTCCCCCTGTAAATTGTGGAAAACCATCCCTTCTTGGCCAGGGCTGAAACACTCTGTCAGCCCCTTTTACCGCTGTTGCTACAAACACAAGGCGTATGGTTGCTCATAAAATGAAGAACAAAGACAAGTTGTGTTATTTTAGGTGCATCCCCAGGGCTGTCTTTGTGCCCATCAAAGGCACAAACAACTTAGATGATTGACAGGAAGAGGCGGGGGCAGAAGAGCCCATTCCGGTGTCTGCCTCCTGGCACTAACAAGCCACTGTCCAATCAGGATGACACAGAGACACAAATGGCAAAAATCAGGCAAGGCAGAGTAGACCCATGCAAAGGCAGCAGGGAAGTCTTCATTTTTCTGTCAAAGACATCAGTTTATCAGTGTCTCTCTCTAGATTATTTGTAAAGAGAGAGAAGAGCAGGAAATATCCCCAGATGCTTTGGGCCCCTTCAAAGACAATTTTATCAAAACTCTGGGGGAAAGAATTAAGAAGACATTGCCTTAAGAGGTCAAGGTTACAGCCCACAGGATAAAAGTGGACTCTCGGAAGGGCAGGCGTGCTGAGACTCAGAACCACGCAAGGACGGCGCCGGGCACACAGCTGTCCCCTCGGTGTCTCCGTCTCCGCAAGCCCTCCTCTGGCAGCTGCAAAAACAGCAGCCCCCCACACCCCCCTTCTCTGAAGTTCCTTTCAGGAACAGCTGCTAATTAGGAGAGCCCTATTTTCAAAGCTCCCAGCAGGAATCCCAGAGTCAGGCCTGAAGAAAACCAGACACACTTGATTACTTCTCACAAACGCTCAGCTGGTAATATTATGCCCCTACAAAGGCAATGCTGACGACTGATCTCCAAGGAGGCCAATGTGGCCCCTGGTGGGGTGCTGAGGAAGAGTCGCCCACGGAGAAGGGAGGGGTGGGTGGGTGCCCACCTTGGTTGTTTTCTAGCGCTGCTCTTCAGGTAATTTCCTTAACACTTCTGAGGTTTCTTTATTCTTGGAGATTTGTGACGACATGTAGGAAGTGTTCTGTGTGATACCAGTGTGTGGGAAGTATTCAGATCTCCGCTGTGCCTCAAACTGGAGTCATAAGACCACGTTCCAGACCAGTCCCAAGGGAGTCTCAGGTGTGCAAACCACCAGATGATTCAGTTGTCAGCCAGGATTGAGAAGACTGCCCAAACCATCCTAAAATAGCTTTCCTTGTCTCTCTTTTCTTCCCTTTATCTATTTTGGGTTTTGGTTATGAAGACTTTTCAGCTCACACAACAGTAGACAGGGAAGTCTGATGAACCTTCATGTACCCATCACCCAGCCTCGACACCATCAGCCCTCGGCCACCCACACGCCTTCCTCGGCCTACTGCCCAGGATGACACTGGTGTAAACTGGCTGGCAAATCTTTTCATACAGGAACATCTCAGCATTTTATTATTTTTTAAAATTATATTCTAAGAGAGACTTCTTTTTATAACAACAATGGGACAATCACAAGCATATATTTAGATATATATATATTTAAATTCCTAAGTTATTCAATGTCTGATCAAAATCCAGATTTTCAATTGTTTCATAAACAATTGGATTTCAGTTAGTTTGACTCAGGGTCCAGGTAAGAGCCATACGTTGTGATGGGTTAGTGCTTTGCACCATCCCAGGCCAGGTAGGTTCATTGTCAGTTAAAGATGAAAAAAGGATTTTGGAGCCTTTGGTAGATCTTCATGCCTTTAATGCTGAGTCTGGGGGAAGACCGGCTTTCTTTCTTAGCATTTCTCTGGCTGTCTCTCGTCTGTCCTCAAAGTGACCCCACCTCCCCTCGCCCCTCAGCACAGGTGTCCCCATGCACATAGACACCCGTGCTCTCTGGGCCCAGGTGTCCATAATTACAGGTGCGCACGCCAGACCACAGGTGCTGGTCCTGGGTGCTAATGGGATGTGGGGGCTGTAGAAAAAGCCTGATTTTTAACTCATTTATCCTATAGTTAGTATATGTTTTTGAATTCTTTTGTTTTCCTTGCAATGTATCTGTTGGAGAAGCGAGCTTATCTTTTGGTTGAATTTCTCAAGAGCCGAATTGCGGGGCTGTGTGCCATGGAAGCTGGGCATGTTCTGTGGCTTCCTTGTAAACTGGCTGACGCAGTCAGCAGCATGCCCTGGTCAGCTGCTTCCGTGAACGGGCCCTGGCTGTGCTTCCTGGCGTCTCTCCGAGACGTGGGCTTTCCTGCGCGATGCCCCATCCACGGCTCACCCAGGCCGCCAAGGGGTTTCTGCTTCGCAGCAGCCTGTAGGCTCTGGCTTCTTTCAGCAGACAGTGAGATGAGTTTTAGTAAAATTACCGACTTGGGGAGCCATTATCATAGGCCCTTTCCATCCCTCCACTAAGACCTCATCTAAGAGCTCTTCCAGCTTCCAGGTGGTTGCATCGTTGGCACCCACGGGTGACATCTGCTGTCTTTGTTCGCCTTTTCTGAAGGTCTCACAGAACTACGTAAACATCGATTCTTCATCTTCACTGGCATCTGAATTTTGGGTGGCAGGGGAAGGGGGTAGGGGGCTCTTCCCAAATCTGGATGCCCAAAGACCCTGATTTGGTTGGTCTGGAATGGGCCAGAGAAGCAGTGGCTGAAACGCTCTCCAGGCTATGGCCACACAGCCCAGGCGGAGGCCACCAAGTTCTCCAGTTCTCCTGAGTGGGGGTTGGGGGGTCCACACCCCCTGTCTCTGCTTCTCAATTCCCACACGCTCCTTGACATGGCCCCACAGCTGTCCCTCCCACCACCAGCACCGAGGTGCTCCAGCCCAGGCCTCCCGTTGCTAAGTCCAGTGCCCACTTCTGTCTTCCTTCTGTTGCTTCTGCACACACCCTACTTCTGGAGACCCCTTCCAGATGCCCACTTCTCCTGGTGCTGGTTTGGTTTTTGGATGGCCGTGCCACGGTGTGTCCCTCAAATACTGGTGTTGCGCGGAATCTTCCTTATCTGCCTCAGTGACCCCACCCCCTGCTGTGCTCAGTCACCACCTGTGTAACTGGTGGCTCCCGAATCTCCAGTGGTCACCCCAGTATCTCTTCTGAACTCCAGGATCATTTCCCTAACCACTGTATGGACGTGGCCATCCACAGCTCCTCTGGCCTCTCAAAATCTGCAAAACCAGAGTCACTTCTTCCCTGACCCTGTTGTTTACATGCTGTGTCTCCAGGGCATGATTCAGGAACCTTCTGGAAAGCTGTTCCTGTACTTGTAAAATGGGAACAGTTCCCTGTGGTGAGGTTCAGAGGAGAGGGGGTGAGAGAACCCCAGCGGCCAGGCGGTCACCACAGGCTCGCAGGCAGTGCCGCCCGCTGCCTTCTGCCGGCCCCGTCCTCCGCCCAGCCCACTCTTCTCACACAGCTTATGTCAGCTTTCAGCTACTGGTGACAGGACCTACGGCTTCTACCGCTCATTAGCTGCTAATCCCACTAGGTTGTTCCTGGAAAATAGCCCTCCCTTGCCCCTCCTCGCTGTTCCTGTGGCTGCCACCAAGGCTCAGGGTCGTCACGTTCGGTCTGGCCAATCCCCCCGGCCTCCTGTCTCACAAGCCATATCCAGTTGTGGCTGAAGTGGGCCTCGTGGAGCAAAACCATGATCATAACAGCACCTGCTCGGCTGGGTTCTGTGACGCTCCGGGCCTGCCCACACTCCGGCTCCTGGTTCAGTCCTTCACCCTGCCCTGTGGACCCTAATCAGGCTCCTTTCTTGCTTTCGAGCCTCAAACACCTGCTCTTCAGTCCAAAAGCTCTTGCCTGCCTCCCCGCCACCCTCCACTCCGGCCACTCATCTCTGCCTGGCAAACATGACTCATCCTCTGAGGCCACTGAAACAGCTCCCCCTTCCTGAGGGACCCTGAGTCATCTCTTCCTCTGCTCCTACGACCCTCGGTAAACGTTTCAGTCATTTCTTTAGCAAACACGCCTGGTATGTGCCAGATCATGTTCCCGAGCACTGTGCAAATATTAGCTCGCTTGATTTTCACCCCCACACCCCCACCCCGGGGTGGTTATTATGTCAGTTCCCCCTTTATGCACAGGGGGTCCAGGGCTCTTGAGAGACTGAATCATTTACCCAAGATCACTTAGAGGAGTGGTACAGCGATGTTGGGACACAGGCCGTGCAGCCCCAGAGCCCACCTTCACTGGACCAGCCTGGCCCTCTCCGATGGGATCAGCATCACTGAGCACTTAGCATTAAGCAAAACAAGAGCAAATTGCCATTGTGACCATTTTTTAAAAAAGTGTGCTAGGCATTTGGGATACAGAAGAAAACTCTCTTGATAGAAATATCTTTGCTTCCAGAGAGGAAGAGTAGTTTGATGATAACAAAGAACAAGGTGAGGGAGCACATGATCCAATGGGGGTGTGTGTGAGAGCCCCTGCTGGAGAAGACAGAGGGGGCTGAAAGGTGATGGGGGGCTCTTCAGCTGGGCAGAGGCGACACCAGGAACCGCACAGGCTAAAGCCCGAAAGCGAAGAGAAAACTGCCCGCTCTGCCACGCAGGGCGGGAGCTCCACGAGGACTTGTCAAAGAAAATGAAAATCGTAAAGTCGAAAGCAGTGAAGCCAGAACACTGAACGTGGGGGTTTGAGCGGGAAAGGGCTCCACCCCAATGGACTCGTTTTATTTTAAAGTCAGGTGTCATTAAGACAGTAAAGTCCACCCTGTTTTTGAGTCCTGACAAACCAGCAGGTGCCACCGTGGCTGGCAAGAGTTCAGTCTCATCCAGAAAGTCCCTGGTGCCGCCTGCTGTGGTCCGTCCTTCCCCCACCCCCCTGTGCTTTGCTGCCATCAGTTTGTCTTTTCTAGAATGTCATATGGGTGGACTCTACTGGCATGTTGCCTTTTGAATCTGGCTTCTTAGAAAAACACTTGAGGTTCATCCCTGTTGCGTATAGCAGGAGTTGGTTCCTTTTTTTAATTGCTGAGTAGAGCTCTAGTGTACAGATGCACCAGGGTGTGGTAGAGCTGACACACAGGACAGACGATGCAGTCTACATTCGGCTCTTCTCATCTACGGACTGGGGAAGGCAGATGAAGGAGAGTCTAGGGCCTCTGTGGCTTCAGGTTTTCATGCTCTTTCCACGCCAATGGCTGCAGGGCGAGCCTGCAGGCTGGCGAAGCAGGGGTGGGGGCAGGAGGCTGGCAGGCCTCTGAGCCCCAGCAACCCTTTCTCTTACAGCTGTCTCTGGCCTTCTCTCACGGTCGTCCTAGGAGCCGCTGGTCATAGCCAGGCCTGGCTGAGTGACACCGCCCTTACAGCCCCGCCTCTGGGCTCAGGTGCGCCCACTTCCCAGCCCCCACCACACCCCAGGTGTCCACCATCAGGCACTCGAGCCGGCCCACGCTCCCGAGTACCTTCTGCATTATACCAACAAAGCCACAGGTGATAGCCAAAAGGCTAGTGGAGTAAAAGCCTGACAAGTTCATTTACCCTACAAAAATCCATCACTGGAAGGGTTCAAATTAGCTTTAAAAAGCAAGTATCAGCATCCGCCGGAACCCACGCTGCAGTTCCCTCTCTGGCCTTGATTTGCAGGCCTTTTTCCGGCTGCACCATGAATGGAGACGGGGAGGATGCCTTTGTCCTTTAACTGTGCTCCCAGCGCACAGCCCGGGCGCAGGTGGCTCTTACCAGGGAACAGAAGCCACGTGGGGCGGTGGCGGGAGAGAAGGCGGACGCGGCTGGGAGCGGCGTGTGCACATAGGCGCCTGGGCTTTGGGGTGTTGAAGAACAGGACTGTGCTTCTCAGAATGGAGCAGGCCATAAAGTCTAGCCTTAACCTCCTGTTGCAGCAAAAGCGGGGTAAACAAACCAAAGCAAAACGCCCCTCCCCCCAGGCTCCTTAATCGTCTCCTGCTGGGCTGGGAAACGAGCCCGACTGGCGCACGCCGAGGCGCTGCAGGTCTTCTCTCGGCCGACAGGTGGCAGTGTTGCACCGCGCGTGAGCCCGGCCTCTGCCGCCCGCGCATCCGCAGCGCTACGCCAAGCGCCCGGAGCTTAGAGCCCACGGTCCCCACACGCTTATTTTACAGGCCGAGGACTCGCCCACGCTCGTGAGCCTGTGTCTCGAAGGGCGGGGGCTCAAACCCAACTTCCGGTGCTCTTCCCTCGTTGTCCAGGCTTGGGAGGGGTCTCCAGTCAGAGTGGGAGAAGGTGGAGGGACAGACAGCCGAGACCCCCCAGAGTGGGGTGGTCTGACTGGGCCAATTTGCTGTGTGACCTCAGCGGATTTGCCTACCCTCTCTGGTCCTCGGTCTCCACGTCTGTAAAAAGACGAACTTCCAGCTTTAAAATACCTGGTGCCACAGAGCAAGCAGACTAGGGTTTCAAAAGACACGCGGCTCACATTCTGCTGGGTGGATACCGAGTCCAGGGCATGCAGGCCGGAGTGGCTGCAGGTGACTGACTTCTGGGTGGTGTGTGTCCCTTGTAGCTGGAAGTAGCTGCTGACCCAGCTCTAGGTTTGCCAGACAAAATATAGGACACACGGTTAAATTAGAATTTCAGTTCAACAATAGATCATTTTAAAGCATACCTATCTTCTAAATAGCGCCGAGGACATACATATTTATACTGAAATGATGTTGAATGTCATACATTTCAATCTACCTAGGTGTCCAGTATCTTCATTTGCTCCATGTGGCGACCTCCTCTGGCTGCAGGGTCCACCCCCGGCACATGGTCACCCTCACCGGCTAAGGCCCAATCTGCCGGCTTCTTCAGTATTTTGACAGTTCCCTGGCTATCCGAGAGGTGGCCCAGACCTAACTGTGTTCTCATCCCCTTCCAGGCCTGGCACTCATGCTGCCCCCCGCCACCCTGGCAGCCCTGGCAGACACCTGGCTCCGAGAGGACTGCCCGGGCCTCAACCCCTCCGCCCTGGTCACTGGGGCCGCCCCATCACAGGCAGCGCTGTGGGCCAAGTCGCCTGGGGTGCTGGCTGGGAGGCCGTTCTTCGATGCCATCTTTGCTCACGTCAACTGCCAGGTGTCCTGGTTCCTCCCTGAAGGATCAAAACTGATGCCTGTGGCCAAGGTGGCAGAGGTCAGGGGCCCTGCCCACTGCCTGCTGCTGGGGGAGCGAGTGGCCCTCAACACGCTGGCCCGCTGCAGCGGGGTGGCCAGCGCGGCGGCTGCCGCCGTGGAGGCCGCCAGAGGGAGCGGCTGGGCCGGGCACGTGGCGGGCACGAGGAAGACCACGCCAGGCTTCCGGCTGGTGGAGAAATACGGGCTCTTGGTGGGCGGCGCCGCCCCCCACCGCTACGACCTGGGGGGGCTGATGATGGTGAAGGATAACCACGTGGTGGCAGCCGGTGACGTGGAAACGGTGCGTGTTGGGTGAGCCCAGGCCTGGCCCTGTGCTAGCCCCATCGCCGTGGCCTTCCCTGGGACTAACCACTCCCCAGAGGACAGCGATTCAGTCTGGGGGTGTAAGGCTCCTCACCCCTTCTTGATTCCATGTGTCAGGTGACCAGTGGGTGCTTTCCCACTGTTCTGATGTTCAACACTGAGTTCAGGTGCTGGTTCTAAGTCCTAGGTCAAGGCCCTGGACATTTTTCCCATCTGGAAAAATGTTCTTGAAGATCCTTTCCAGTTTTCATATCCTGAGTGAAATCGAACTCAGTCCTAAATGCTGAATATCGCTGATAAGGTCATTTCTGACCCCCACAAAGGGTCATTTCATGGGGTTGAAGCTCATAACAAAGAAACCAACCCAGAGCCCGGTTTCCTCCTTAACCCTGAACTCCGCACCCAGCTGTGCTTTCTCAGTGCCAGTCCCAGCTCATTAGGCGCTTGTGCCAGGGCCGGCCCCTGGCCTCACCCCGGTCTGCCCGGCAGGCAGTGCTAGGGGCCCGGAAGGCCGCCAACTTTGCCCTGAAGGTGGAGGTGGAGTGCAGCAGCCTGGGAGAGGCCCTGGAGGCAGCAGAGGCAGGGGCGGACTTCGTCTTGCTGGACAACTTCAGGCCTGAGGTGAGTGGTGTCTGCTTTCTGGGAAGGGGCCGCATCGGGGCTCTCATCTCCCCTCCACTTGTGCCCCCAGGAGCTGCACCGCACTGCCCAGGTGCTGAAGGCCCGGTACCCAAATGTGGGTGTGGAAGCCAGCGGGGGCATCACGCTGAACAACCTCCCTCAGTTCTGTGGACCCCACGTTGACGTCATCTCCTTGGGGATGCTGACCCAGGCCGCCCCGGCCCTGGATTTCTCCCTCAAGCTGTTTGCTGAAGGTGCCATTCCAGTGCCTTACGCCCGCCCCTAGGTCCTAAAGACGCGGGGGTGATGCTGGCTGCGGGAGAGGGCGCTTTGCTGGGGACCCTCCAGGTCCCACTCTGCTAAGTACAGGGGCCGGCAGGATCTTCTCGGTTTTAGCCTGGGAGACATCTGTCTCTGCCAGGTGCTGCTTGTGACCTCCACCAGGACTTCCCTGGTCACCTCAGCTCCCTAATCTGTAAGACGGTTTTAGTATGTGATCAAGAGTGTGAATTTGGAGGGTGATAATACATAGGAAGTATTCAGTAAATGTGAGAAATTACCAGAGTTCATCTCTTCTGTGATGCATTTTTTTCCTCGCATGACCTTCTCTGGAGTCAAGGTGTGTCTTTAACTAGTGGTATCTAACAGCTGCTATCAGCCAGGGGCAGATCAAGAATGAGTTTGTCTCCCAGACGGATCAAGACCTTCATTTGTATGCACCAAACAGCACCAGGGCTTGCCAGGGCCGGGCTCAGAGCCCACAGTGGAGATTCATCCGGCAGCGATGCTGGCAAAGGTGGTGCCTCCTTTGCTGAGGTCCTGAGCCACAGAGCCACTGAGCTACAGGATGCACTAGAGGTGCCACTGGGGGCTGTTCCTGCCTCATCCGACCTGCCACCCCAGGGCCCTCCAGTCCACCCTCCAGGGCAACACAGACCTATCAGCTGACAGCCCTCCCTGCTCCAGGGAGCACCAGACACAAAGCCCCAGCTCCTCAGACCTGCAAAGGGAGAAGTGAACCCCCGTACAGCCATGGTCACTTCTGGAAGTCAGCACAGGAAGCTGGGAGCCATGGACCAGTTAGGAGCTGAAAGGTGGAACTCTTGGGATCCTGACAGGCTGGAGGGAGAAGCAAACTGGGAGTTGCAAACTCAGATGTTTCAGGACACGAATGAATAAAATAAACGGGATGTTGGAATAAGACACGGGCCATGGTCAGCTGCAGAGTGGGTGGTGCCCCCCCCACATTCCAGTTAAAAGAGAGGTTGTGTCTCAGACTCACCCGTTGTGTCAGGTTGTGTCTCAGGTTGTGTCTCAAACTCACCCGTTTACTCAGAAGTGGGTCAACCCAAAGGGCACCTCCAGATCCGAGATGTGGGAGGGGGTTTCATCACCAGTGGGAAAGGAAATGGGTCCTGGACAGGCAAAAAGAACCTGTTTTCCTTTTCCAAGCCTGGGAATGGGTTTCTGGGCAGAGACCGCATGATAAAGGCTCAGAGGCAAGAATAGCTTGAGTTGTTTGGAGCAAGAATTGAAACTTGGATCAGAAGAGGCAAGATGGCTAGGAACTGGGTTGCATCCAGACCACAAAATGGCAGGTCAGAGGACTTGGACTCTGTTCTGAGAACAGAGAGCCTCAAGCTGGAAAGTGAGATAAGCTGATGTGAGTTCACTGCAGGAAAATGCAGTGGAGCAGACTGGGGGCTGGAAGAGCAGTGGGGGGGGGCACAGAGGGGGGCAGAGGGCTGGGACTTGGCCCTGGCAATGGGCTGGAGGCAGGGAACCGCCTGTGGAAGCAACAATCTCTGCAAGTTTCTGGTGGCAGATGAAGCCTGACAGGTTCAGGGCAGGAGGAAGAGCTGGCTGAGGTGTGGGGTGGGAGACAGGCTTGCAGGTCAGGAGAGGAAGCTCAGACTTCAGTGGGCTTTGCTCTAAGTGTCTGGCAACACTTCCTCCTTGCTGGTCAGTTGGGACCGAGCTTAGATGATTTCCTCAGTCTGCCCCACACCCATAAGACCCCATGAAGCCCATACTTGTGAAGGCAAATGGCCCACTGAAATGGAGCAGTTATCAGCTCACAATGTGTCATCTCACTGGCGGTGAGCGAGAGGTGAACATACATTCACGGATGCCCTCGTCCAGGTCCTGTTCCCTCAGTTAAAGCTTGTAGGTGGTGGTGATGGGACTGTGTTAGAGTGTTCATCTTGCCCATGAGGAAACAGGCTTTATGAAGTTAATAGAGCTACTAAGGATCACACTTCAATCAAATGCTGGGGCAGCGTTTAAAACCAGTGTTACTATTTTTGAATGCTTACAACGTGCCATGCACTATTCTAGACGCCAGGTAGACAACAGTGGGAAGACAGGCAAAATAGACAACAATGGGTAGACAGAAAAATCCTTGTCCTCAGGGATTTTATATCCTGTTGTTGGGTGGGGTGGGGGTAGGAAGATTAGGCGATGAGACAGTATCATACGCAAGGGTGCCAGCCGCCCTGATGGCCACCAGAGAGCACTGCAGCCACACCACCTTCCACTCTTGAGCTCCCTCTTAGGGTTCCAGGATAGGACACCAAGTAGAGCCTTTGCCCAAGAATCAGAGCTGGGCACCTCCCACTTTTTAGCTTAATCCCCTCATCAGCTCCAGCTGTTCAAGTTATTGTTGATTTTCCAAGGCTTTTGAGTACTCTACAGATCACCGTGATATGCTCACTCGCCACTCGGCCATGCCCCTTCCACTTAACCCACTTGCCCACCACACACCCTACCCATCCACTAAGCTTCTATCTATGCTCCCAGCCTAGCACCCTTCCACCTCCCCATCCCTCTTGCTACCCACCCACCACCTGGCCTGCTTGGTCTTGAGCAGGCAAGAGGTCACGTCAGGTTAACAAGTCTGTGAACTCAAGGCACATGAGTTTCCGTGATTTATTAATCAAACTGTATCTGAAAACAGTATCTTAGTATCTTTCAAAAATCCCACGGTAGTATCATGCAGTATGATTTATCTAGCCCTTCAAACAACAGGGCAGGTAAAATTCCGTAACTGTTTCAGCACCTCTATACTTCGTTCTAGTGGCTCCCTGAGTAACAGATCATTTTGGCAGTTATTCAGCGTCGCTGAAGCCTGACAATTCCTCTACACTATCTAACTGTGGAGAGCCTCTCCGTGACTGCTCTGCATGCCAGAGGTGTGCGGGTGGCGGGGCTGTCTCCATACAAGTGTGTAGTGCTCTTTGGAGACCCAGCATCTGGTGCAGCACCCCTAGAAAATGCTCAGGGCTTGGAGGCCTTCATTCTTAGCCCTGGCCTGGTGAGTGGCTGGGTCACCTCCTCTCTCTCCCCCAGCTCTTCAGCCAAACTTTGCAGAAGACTTAGGTGGTGCTAACAAAGAGCTATCCCAGAAGTTGCTTGTTTCTTGATATGTGACTGACTACTTTTATCCAAAGGCGAACATCTCTATTGGAATACTGTACTGTTATATAAAGGACAACACTGGTCTCGTAAAGGCTGGATTAAAATAATGCTCCCCGTATGAAAAACAATAATAAAACTGTAACCTTGCCAAAGACCAAAAATATTTCATATTTATTTTTGATGTGGTCTGCTTTGTTTTCTCAGCATGTTCTGAGCCAGAAGGGGAATTCACTGAGCTTTGGCAGCTTTTGATGTGGAGAATTGTAGTTAAAACGTTTTTATGTATTGGTATAGTAATGCCCCAAAAGGATGGAAAGTTTTAAAGGCCAAGCCAAGCCCTGCATCAAAAAATTTCCAATTAACTGATGAGAACTCCATGAGGGAAAACAGAAGATGTAAAATAACTGTTTACGTGACCAATTTTGAGGCAGCAATTCAGTCATGTTCTCTGTATAATAATTAAAACAGAATCAGGCAAGTCCGAATGTCTCTCCTGACAGGTTAGTTCCTCATTCTCCTTCATTTGTTAATTAATTTACTTATCAGGGTATAAAATGAAGAAGTAAAATCCCATTCATCCCCTTGAAGTGACCATGTTTAAGGAGATTTTAAGGAGGCCTTCCCTGTGACAGCCTCTGGGCTTGTTCTAATTTATAGCTCTAAGCAACTCTGGCCTCTGGCTCTAAGCACACAGAATTGAGCTCAGTCACATTTTTCTTTTATTTCTGTTTGGTTGTTTTTTATTCTTTCTATTGGCTATCATTGTCATTTTAGTATCTATAACCCCTTCTTCTTGATGCATTCTTTAAAATGCTGAGATATAATTGACACACTTGAAAATTTAAATTCATTCACTTATGCATACGAAGGCTGGGGTACAGACCTGGAGAGGCAGTGGGTGAGAGGAATTCACCAGAAAACAATGGGGAACAAACAGAATAGGCAGATGTACTGAAATACACAGCTGAGGGGAGCAGCGGGCGAGACGGGAGAGGTCTGCTGCGCCGTGTGGGTCACTCCCTGTTGGGGACTGAACTCATGCCACAGTGGCAGCCAATAGCTTGATAGAGCTGTGTCTTCAACCCCTGCACCACCAGGGAGGCCCCCAAAATTTCAATTCTTTGAAATACCTTTTAACTGTTCAGTTCACTGGTTTTTAGGATATTTTATGGAGCTGTGGATCCATCACCACAATGTACTTTCAGAACATTTTAATCATCCCCCAAAGGAACCCCCCTATCTTTGAGAGTCACTGTCTGCTTATTGTGGATTCGTAAGATTTTCTGTATCTAAGATCATGTCCTACACAAAAATACCTTTACTTCTTCCTTCCCATTCTGGTTGCCTTATTTTATTTTTCTGTTCTAAACCATTTACATTTAATGTGAACATCGAGATGGTTTATTTGAATCTATTATCTTGCTGTTGTTTTTATATTCATTCCCATCTGTTCTTCCTCTTTTTTTTTATTTTTATTTTTTTTAAAGATTTATTTATTTGTGCATACAGAACTGGGGTACAGGCCAGAGGCTCAGGGGCGGCGAGAGGCTTCACCAGAGACAGAGCAGGGAGCAGAACAGGTGGCTGGACAAAGTACACTGCTGAGGGGAGCAGCGGGCGGGTCAGGAGAGGTCTGCCGCGCCATGTGGTCACCTCCGGGGCAGGCGGGGATCGAACTCATGCAGAAGCGACTTTAGATTCTCAGTGCTGTGTTTTAACCCGCTGCACCACCAGGGAGGGCCTGTTCTTCCTCTTTTGAAAATTGAGTATTTTTTGTTTTCATCTGTCCTCTTTTGTTTGCTATAACTTGTTGCTTTTTTGTTTGTGGTTTGACTCACACCTTTTAAAATATCCTCTTACTGCTACTGAACTTTGTAAACATGGAATAGTTAAAATAATTGTTTTAAATCATCCCCCACTCATTTTCACATCTGCACCAATTCTGGGCTGGTTCCATTTGATCGGAGAGCGTCCTTAGCATGGGCCGTTTTCCCACTTCTGCGTGCCTGGTAATCTCTGATTGCCTGCCCAATGGCGTGTATTTTACCTTGGCGGCCAGCTCTATCCGTAAGCGGTGTCATGTATTTATTAGGCAAATCCAGAGCAGGGCTCAGTCTAGTTAATTATTCCCCACAGCTCCAGCGGACCTGCCTCATCCCCTGCCCAGCTCCTGTGAAGGTTTCCAGCGTGACCCTGTGAGCACTGGGAACGGCTCCTGCTGGGCCTTTCAGGTGCCTCTTCCCTGGCCTTGGACACTTTCCGAACACATGTGTGATCGAGGGGGCCCCTTTGTAGATGTTGGGTTCTCTCTGAGAGAAGTTCTTTCTTCTCTGCTCTGTTCTCCAAGCTCTGGCCATGGTGGCTTCCCTGGACGCTCAGCTCTTCTCCTTCAGCCCTGGAAGTCCCTCGGGGCCCCTCTGCAATTCTGCCTCCTGCCCCACAGCTCGCAGAGACTCTCACAGCTAAATGCTGCCAGTACTTAAGGGATCAACCTCATTTTCTTTTTCTAGGATTTCATTGCTTTCATGACTGTCTTTTACTGCTTGATGTCCAGTGTTTCGGAAACCATTGTTTCATGTTTCCTGTCTGCCTTTTTGTCGTGGGTGTGGTTCTTTTGGGCAGGAGGGTAAGTAAGCCCTGTGTCCGCTGCTTACCTTGGTGAGAAGAGGAGTCTCAGGGGGACTGTTTCCAAGGTTACCCAAGTGGTTCCATGCAGCCAGGCGAGAATCACCTGCACAGACCCCTTTCGTTGCTTAAAAAATTTTTTTTTTCTTCAGTCAAATAGAACCTTTGATTGTTTCCTCCCAACCATTCTCTGTTCTTTCTTTCTGGAACTTCTATTAGATAAATGTAAAATGAATTGCTCCTTCATTTCCAACTGTCTTTCAGATTTTCCATTACTTTGTCTTTTTGCTGTAGACTCTGACAGAGGTTTAAAAACTCTTTCCTCCAATACTTTTTCCTTTGATTAAAATTTTAATATTGGCAACCATAATTGTAACTCTCAGAACATTTTCTTCTTTTCCAATTGCAGTGTCTTCCTGGAAGTCTCTTCTTGTTTCATGGGCACATTTTCTTAATTTTTTTTTAAAGACTTATTTATGTATGCAGACAAGATCTGGGGTACAGGCCAGAGGTGTAGGAGTGGGGGGTGAGAGGATTCACCAGATACAGAGTAGGGAGCAAAACAGACAGGTCACTGAAATACACTGCTGAGGGGAGCAGCAGACGGGTCAGGAGAGGTCTGGTCAGGAGAGGTCTGCCGCGCCAGTCAGCTCCCTGGCTGGGGATCAAACTCATGCAGTAGTGGCTGCTGATAGCTTCATTGTGCTGAGACTTAACCCCTTGTGCCACCAAGGAGGCCCACGTTTTCTTATTTATTTGTTTCCTCCAGTGTTGTTTGTCTTAATCCACTTCATCTTTGGTGCCACTGAAAGCAGGTGGTGGCTTACATGGCTCTTCTTGGCAGCTGAGCGGGTCCGGTTCCCCTGCCGAAGGGCATGCAGGCCCTTTGCCCCTCTGACCTCTGGTTCATGGTGCTCCTGTTTGGCCTTTTGATGTCTGTGAAGTCATGACCCCTGCATGTTTTGGGGGACTGATTTTATCCTGGGGACAAATATTGACTCTTTGCGGAGGCAGTGGTCCTGAGGTGACCCATGGGAGCCAAGACCACCAAAGAAGGGAGAGATGCCACAGTTGGGGGAATCGACAGCGCCAGTGATACCCACTGAAGCTGTGGGCATGAGTGAGATTGCCCAGGAAGACCAGGAAGCAGAGAGACAGCTAAGGCCGCCCAGGGCTGACTGCATCGGGAAACAGCCAGCAAGGATCCACAAGGATGACTGGAGAGAGAAGGGAAATCAGGAGGGTGTGAAGGCAAGGGAGAGCAAGTCTCAAGAATGGAAACAGACCCTCCCTGGTGGCACAAGAGTTTAAAGCACAGCACTCTGAAGTTAGCCGCAGCTGCTGCTTCAGCATGAGTTTGATCCTGGCCAGGGAGGTGACCACATGGTGCAGCAGACCTCTCCTGACCCGCCCGCTGCTCCCATCAGCAGTATATTTCAGTACATCTGCCTGTTTTACTCCCCACTCTGTCTCTGGTGAATCCTCTCACTACCCCTGCACCTCTGGCTTGCACCCCAACTCTGTATGCAGAAATAAATAAATCTTGAAAAAAAAAAAAAAGGAATGGAAGCAAAATGTCTAATCTGTCCTTTGATGGAAATACCCAGGCCATGCTTTGGTGCGAGTAGCCACTGTCCCAGGGTACAAGAGTCCAGCAGGCCACAGCGGGTTGCATAGTGATGGGAGATGAGCTAATGTAGTCTGCTAGGGTAGATAGCCCTTTCAGAAGAGGGCTGGGAAGGAGGTGAGGGGTTGTGTTTTCTGATGAGGAATGGAAATGGTCACCGGTGAGGGTGGGAGAATTCATTTATAGAGCAAAGAGCCTGCTTTGGGTAATACTGTGAATGGTATGACTCTGACAAGCACACCCCACCGAGAAATGTGTCGACACACTGAAAAAAATCAAGCAAACGGACTTTGAAATGCACAGCTGAGGTTCATGAAAGTCAGGGGCCCCCAGGAGCCATGCACAAAGGGGAAGTGGAAAACCAGAGCCCTGTGCTACCGGCAGGGTGTAGATCTTGGCTGTGAAGGGGCTTGAGGTTTACAGCTGCCTACAGTTTAAGAGGAGGCCTCAGCTCAAGTGTTGAGAACTGAAACCTTAATGGAAACCTAAGATTCCTTTTTATTTTTGAAGATTTATTCTTATAAATGCATACAAGTACTGGGCTGCAGGCCAGAGGTATAGGATGGGAGTGACAGGAGAGTCACTCACAGAGTGAGGAGCAGAACAGGTAGATCTACTGAAGTACACTGCTGAGGGGAGCAGCAGGCGAGGTCTGCTGTACTCTGGGTCATCTCCCTGCTGGGGAACGCATGCTGCAGTGGCTGTGGGTGGCTTCACAGAGCTGCATTTTAACCGGTTGCACCTCCAGGGAGGGCCTCCTGTTGGCTTTACACCATGGTCTGGGTCTGGTACTGGAAAGATGATTTGGGCAGCAGTCAAGTGACATTCATCCATGCCCATGTTCTTCCAGCATTCCTCTTACAGGCGTGGCATCCTCAAATGTCACCACTGGGAATGTCCCAGGTGAGTATCCTGCTCAGCTTTTTAACAGAAAGAACATAAAACCCAGTAATAAATGAAAATATCACTTTTCTTCAAGAGGGGAACAACCCAGATCAAGAGCTATGGCTTTGCCACAGGGTCCCTTCCACACCATCCTGTCTAAACTTTCAACACCTTACCTGTTTCCTAGGGACGGGTCCGGTCATGCCTCCTGGGCAGAGCTCCCACGGCCCAGGCCTATCAGCTCATGGTGACCCCAGGAATGACACGGCCCCAGCTTCTGAATGACACGGGGCATGGCGGTCTTAGTCTCTCCCTCATGTCAGGACACATCCCAGTCTTATTTCACCCCTTCGGCTCCCCCACCTCCCACCCCTGACACTGGAGAGACTGGGAACCCCTGGAGGGCAGAGGCCAGGTCTGATTCCAAACCCAGGGGGCTTCTTCAGTGTCTGAGTCTGGCAAGCTAGAGGGGAGCAGGAGGGCTCCCAGATCCTCCTGAGCAGGGAGAATCTAGTGTTGCCCTTAGCAAGGCAGCGTTCCAGGGTGTGGGTGACCTCGGAACGCTCCAGGGCATGAAATAAACAACGGGGTGGCTCTCACACTGGGCTCATGTGTCTGGGTGGGGTGTTGGGCACCCACATCCTGACATATGCTGGTCCAGCCCTTCCTTTTTTTTTTTTTTTTGAAAGAGTAGTTGACACAGAACATTGTTTTCCTTTCAGGTGTACAACGTAACGATTGGATATTTGTGTATGCTGTGAAGTGATCTCCACGGTGAGCCTATTTGCAGTCTTTTCTTATCATCCATTCCCTTGAACAGGTCTTTGGGTTCATTACTCTGGCAGGGAACAATGTCTACTTAAAGCTTTATATCTTTATTGACATTATATTTATTTTCACCTCTCACCTTCTATGGCAAGTGATACTGGTTTTTCCATGTACAGAATTGATACCAAAAACGAGTCCTTTAAACATAAATTTATTGAGCAAATAATAATCTAACTTGAAGACAATTAGACAGAGTGACTCATCATACAGGTGGTAATCCAATATGACAAAAATCCTAACAGTCACACTGAAGCTTGGGAAAACAAGCCTGGAGAAGAGGGACTCTGCGTGGCTCCCCCAACCCTGGCTCCTTTCCCGGGGTTGTCAGCTGACACAGACAAGGACTGTTCCAGGCTCAGTGCTGAACCGTAGAAGTAAGCCTGTCGTGGGGCAAGTCTTTCCGGATCACTGCAGCGCCTGGACGGGCAGATTGCCGTGCCCTGGGCAGTGGTCCTTCCCAGAGGGATCAGCCCCCAGAGACGTGCCCGCCTCAAGAGGACTGTTGAGGACCCTGGCCCCCTTGGGCTCGAGGTCCCAGCTGCAGGCAGGAGGGGCCTCTCGGCACAGCTCGCCACACACCCTGCTGTGAGCTGGAGTCAAAGCCACAGTTCCTTATAGTGAAATGTCCCTTTGCCTGGTCTTGACCTCCCTTCACGTCTTCCTGAACACAGGGAAATTTATGGCTCTGGGGTGTGGCTTCCATCCGCTCCTGCTAGAACGACTGACCTCTGTCATCACCGGTCTGTTCTTCAGTGTTCAGAGCACCCGCACCCCAATATCGGCATCTCAGACCCACCCTGAAGGAAGGTGGATGTCGCATTTAAGCTATTTCCTGCTTGTCTGCTCTCTGTGGCTTCTGTTCTCTCTGCCAAAGCAGCTGAGCAGACGCACCTCTGGGCTTTTGCACCGTCTCTGTCCATACTCAGCCTGCCCAGACCCATATCCAGGGACACTGAGAGCCAGATGTGAAAGGCTGGATGTTCTCCCTTCGGGGATCAACCCGGGTTCCAAGGCTTGAGCCTCCTGAGGTCAGGCCTTCCTCAGGGGTCTTGAGAGATCAGTCCCCCAGCCCTGGGGATTCAGAACCTGATGCTGGTCCGGCCTTCACGCCTCCAGAAAGCTGAGATCTGCTCCTGGGTGACCCGAGGCTGGAGGCCCCACTCAAGATCAGGGCTTACTGGTCGTGGCCTCTGGGCCTGGGGACTCCCCCAGTACACACTGGCCTCTGGCCTCGGCTCAGCTTCAGCCCAGCTCACCAGGCCTGGGGGATGGGGCCTCCCTTCCCAGGCCTGGGCTCCCCTGAAGGTACTACTTCGGGGTGGGGCCTGGGGGACCAAGGAAATGGGAAGGGACTGTGGGGCTGAGGGCGCGGGTGGGGCTAAAGGGGCTGGGGGGGCTGTCGCTCGGGCCTCCAAGGTGCCCCCAGGGGTAGGAGGGTCCGGAGCCCTGTCAGTCAGCAGGGGCACCGCACAGCCATACCAGTCTTCAGAGCGTTCTCTTGGGGTGCCTATGGGGTCGATCCACAACTCTCCTCCGGGGCGCCAGACAAGGGTGGGGGCGCCGTGGCTGGGGGCTGGATGAAGAGATCGGCGGAACAGGCGATCGGCCAGCACAGCTGTAGCGACCAGGAAGAGGGCAGCGATGGAGGCCAGGGCCAGCATGATGGGGATACAGGGCCCGCAGGGCAGCGGGGGCCAGGAGGTGGGCTCCGGGGCAGGGGACGCTGCCTCCACCCGCCCAAAGGGCTGCTCTGGAGTCGAAGGCATCTGGGGAGACAGAGGGCAGGAGAGAAAGCGAGTGAGACAGGGTAGGCCCGATCTGGAGAAGAAAGAGGAGAAAGACAGACACCGCGAGACTGGTTTTCAGCCCTAAGAAACAGACCCCAGCAGAGACAGGAACAAACGAGGGGCCACCTCGCGGCAGAGGCCTGCTGCTCAGAAACCCGCCGCTTCCGGGGGGCCGTTTCTCTCCCAGACCCAGCATGCCTCACCCAGAACTCTAAGCACCCGCTCAGGTCTTGCTAGGCCTAGAGAGGAAATGGTGGATGAGAACGAGACCCTCGCCCAGGCCCTGCCCCTCGGAGCCCCTCCTGGGCCCACCCACGGCTGGGGCCTTAGAGGTCCTGTGGCCCCACACTGTCCTTGGCGTTGGGCTTGCTCTCTGCGGGCTCCTCTTAGTTTACTGCTGGGCCACGACCAGACCGCACCGCACCTGCCCGGCCCCTGACCTGTCTCCCCAGATGCTCCCACCTCTGAGGCCTCCTGCTGTCCTCACCTCAGGTCAGTGAGCTCCTCTCACTCGTCAGTGCTGGCCCCTGCTCCTCCTCACACATGCCCAAGGGTACAAGACAGTTGCTTCAGAGGAGGGCGGAAGGGAGGGTACATCCTGTTGCTGGGCAACTGCGCCACACTACCCCTGCCTCTGAGGAGTGTTTCCAAGGCAACCGGGGGATGTGGTCACTGCGGTGAGGGTGAGGAGGCGTTTCCTGGGAGTGGCAGGGCCAGAGTGGGCAGTGGCGCTGTTGAACTTAGACTCATCTGAGAGCAAGGCCCCAAGCCCCAGAACACTCTCCCAGAGGTCAAGAAGGAGACGGACTCTGGCCCCTCAGGTTTCAGAACACCAGACATGTGGCTCTGCCTGCCCCCGGGGTCGTCACCTGCCCCTGCTCTGCCCAGTGGGTATCTTTGGGGTGCGTCTGTCTGTGTGGCATTGTCAGGCTTCTGGGAAGAGTCCAGGGTCAGATAGGCAGAGGCCTGTCTCCAAGAGCCCAAATACATGCCAAATCAGCTCCTTTCTCCTGTGCTGGGAGCAGCAGCTGAGCAGGGCGGATAAAACGTCCTTAGCTTCTGGGCTGGAGTTTTTTCAGAGACAGTCTAGCTCCACTCACTTGCTGACAGAAAACAAGGGCGGTGTCACGCCCACAGTCACACACTTGCGTGGGAGCGAGGGCAGAAGCACAGCTATAAATACCTGGTCTGGCAAGCTCCCTGAACGCAACACAACTCTTACTAGCTATGAATATTTCGTTTTGCAAGATGACAGCCACTTTATGTGAAAGGCTACAAAAATATGTCAAATAGTCACAAGGGCAGCCTGACCAGGTCCCCTTGTCCTGTGACCTTGAGGAAAGGGCCAGTGGAGCCCAAAGTAGAGTACAGAGAGGAAGGAGAGGGAGATGGAAAGTTCTGTGGCTCTGGGCCTTATGACAAAGGCAGAAATTTGATGAGATTAGAATCTGATGGAACTAGAAGACTTACAACCTGAGCTTAATACCACTGAGCTGGGCATTAAGAATGGCTAAGGGGCCCTCCCTGGTGGCGCAACAGGCATACAATGCTGGCCACAGCTGCTTCAACGCCAGTTGGATCCCCGGCCAGGGAAGATCTGCCTCATGAGAGGCGCCCGCCCGCTGCTCCCCTCAGCAGTGTGCTTCGTCAGTTGGCCTGATCTGCTCCCCACGCTGACTCTGGTGGGCCCTCTCGCAACCCCTGTGCCTCTGGCCTATACCCCAGTTCTATAAATAAATAAATAAATCTTAAAATAAATAAATAAATTTCCTCCTCTTAAAAAGAAGAAGAATGGCTAAGACTCATGTAACATGTAGTTCCACCAACAGAAAAAGTTTAATATTAAAAAAAATCCAAGTAAATAAACATTTGCTATTTATTTGGTTGTTACATATGTGCTTTGCTTATTCATCTTTATTTAGAAAAATAAAACACTAGAGAAATAAACATTACTAAAAGCCAGAAAGATCGGTCATGATGTTCCTGTTTCTAAGCTATCAGACTGGTTGTTTTGATTCTTGACTTTCATCACTTAAAAAACACCTGAAATGGCCCTCTCTGGTGGCTCAACCGGCCAGCGCACAGCACTGTGAAGCTATCTCCAGCCACTGCTGCATGAGAGTTGGATCCCTGGCAGGGGGAGCTGACCCAGGGGGCGCAGCAGACCTCTCCTGTCTCACCTGCTGCTCCCCTCAGCAGAAGGGGAGGAAACAGTGAACTGCTGTGTGCAAAGTTCTGTCTTTGGTAGCTTTTTGCCTGAAGTCTCTATGTTGGTCTTAAAACATGCCCATGAATTCCTTAGCACTCTGCCTGCCATAGGTGGAGTCTGATTCCCCCTCCTGTGTCTGCTGAACTGTGGGCAACATGGCTTCCAGGGCTGAAGGGCACCCGCCTGGTTTGGTGGAGTGCTCGCTCACGCTCACACTCACGTGCTCTCTCTTTTTCTCTTTCCCTTCCCTCCTTCCTTCTTTTCCTTTCCCTCTCCGTCACCTCTCCTTTCCTCTCTCTCCATCACCTCCTCTCCCTCCTCCCCTTCTTCCCGCTTCTGGGTCCGCATGATCAGGAGGGCCCGCAGGCAGGTCCTAAGTTTCACTTCCGACAGAGTGAGATCTGCTTGGTCCGGTATGGTGAGTACTCAGCTTCCGCTCGTTAAGTGTGACACTGCCGGGTGCCACAGTCCTACGCACCATTGGAAGGACAATTCCTGAAAAAGTGGAGGTGGTCAAATAACCCCACAAGTGCCACCCACATTGGGCTGGGAGCTGGGGGCGCCCCCAGGGGCTGAACACTAGAGCAGTGTATCTGGACTCACCAGGGAAACCTAAAGGAGACAGAAGCTGGAGATTCTGATGTCCTCAGTCAGAGCCATGGCTCCAGCAGCAGGCTTTTATAACAGCTCCAAGTGCTTCTAACAACAGCCCAGTTGAGCCCCCGTGCGAGCTATGTGTTCCCGAGGTGCCCAGGCAGCCTTAGGCGCCGCAGGCCTGGGTGGGGCTGAGTTCCTTGTGCTCCAGGTGACACTGACCTGGCCAGCCTCAGCGCCCCTGGCTCTCTGGGACTTTCTGTGACTGCAGGGCCTGCCACACACTTGACCTGTAACTAGAAAGATCGAAGAACCGTTTTACTTTATTTTAAATGAATGAATTTGAATCTGAAGACTCACACTGTAGCTGTGGCTACTGGATGGAGCAGGCCTAGCGGATCTCAGCCAGGGAGGGGCCATGTCCTGACCGCCGGATGGGGCTCTTACCTACTCGGCACTGCTGTTGACGCTCCATTCCTCCTACCTTGGGCCCCCACTTCTGGCCTAAGAATGGGGGCTAAGGGGCGCAGGATTGGGGTGAGCATAGGAATCACAGGTGATCCTGAAGCACTGTCCTTACTCACCTGTGGCTGAAGCAGAGTGCTAGTGTTATATTGCTGTTACAAACCACCCCAAAACATAGGGACCCGAGGTAGCCAGATTTATTTTTCTCGCCAATCTGCATTCAGACAGAGATCATTGGGCACGGCTCACCTGCAGGTGTCTGCTCTGGTGGTTTGAAAGCCGGGGCCGGAGATGCCTCGAGAGCTGCTCACTGCGGGGGCTCAGCTAGGGCCCCCGCTGGGACTTTAACCGGGGCAACAACTACAAGCCCTTTGGGTGTCCTCACACATGGTGACCAGGCTCCAGAGGTGAGGAGAATGAACAAGAGAATGTTTGAGTCCCTGACTCTAGCTCCTTCCCTATGCTCTATTTCTGCCCTTGCGCTTGTTATAGTTCCCCTTTGTGCTTAACAGTCTTGGTTGGATTTCTGTGACTTGTGACCAAAAATGCTAGTTTGTACAACTCAGGCCTGTTAACTACATCCCAGAACAGAATCTCCAGCTAGATTCTACAGGTACTGTACAGGGCACCCCAATATGAATTGGGTTGCCTGTCTGTGGTCTTCACCCGTGTGCTTACGATTCAATCGTATTATGGACACACTCAAAAGGTTAAATAATGGATTTATTTATAAGGAGAAAGGTAAAGGAATAACCCAGGGAAAGAGGGAGAGAAACACAGGTTAACTAGGATGTCCTACCAGTTCTGCTGACTTGGACTCCACCGGCATGCTGAAAACCGATGGAGCGTCAAAACCATCAGCTGCGAACCACCAGGTCCCCCCAGAGCCCACATGTCCGGTCTTCTCCCAACCTGGCTGCTCAACTCCGCCCTCACGTCCTGCGTGCCTCTCCTTGGTACTGATGGGGTTTGGAGTTCCAGCATCTGGAGTGGGGGCGGAGCCCATGAAACCTGTACCTGTGACAGTACCTCAACGGTAACATGTAGAAAACACCTTTCCTTATGAGGTGGCTTGTTTCTTGTTTCTGCTTTTTGTCATGTGTAATATTTTTCAGTAAAAAAAACAAAACAAAACAAAAAATGTAAGCCCACATCTCCCCCATCTAAGCCAGGCTCCTTTACACCTGGCCTCGTGCCTGGCGGCTTGCTGAGCTAGTTGTGTGCGTCAGGCGGGGGTCTCTCCTCTTCACCCCTTCCACGGTCACCCGTCCAGGTGACCGGACATGTAGAAGATGGCTCTGCTCCTGATGCCTTCCTTGGAGGGCCCCACTACCACAACACGGTCACGCTGAAATCCCTGGGCTTAGCACACAAGGGCCCCCTCACTCTGGCTCCAAGCCCACCTCCCAGCCTCAGCTCTGTCATTTGTACCATGGCCTCACACGCAAATGCGTGGCTCCTGGGCCACCTTCCTAACGTGGGAACTGACTCGCCCATCTGTCCACCCCCCCACCCCCCAGGGACAAAGGTCCAATGATGTGCTACTTTACTGGGTACCAAGGACAGAGCTTCCTCTGCTAGAGATGGGAACACCCCTCTATCCCACTCACTTTTACTGGCCCATCAAGCCTCGGTTAAAAGCACCGTTCCTTTGGGAAGCCATGGCTTTCCCAAAGACTAGGAGCTGGCGTTCTCGCTGTGACGAGTGGGAAGGGTGTGCAGGGAAGACTCTCAGAGTAATGAAGCTTGTCTACTCACCCTCTGACTCCATCTCTGGGCTTGACTCCAAGAAAAAATGATAGAAACCACCCAAGATGGATTGACCTAGATTTCCAAATAAGGCATCAAGTCAAGTTCACTAGCAGTGACGTGATACAGAAAGTGTGGCTGAACCCCCTGTTTCTGGGGAAAGAAGTCGATGTGGGTGGGGGGAGAGTGTGTGATGCAGATGCCCTGGGCTTGTGTGTGAGGGTGCGTCAGACTCCCCAAGGGTGAGCTGCATGGAGTTGCATTTGGTGGGGAGCTGTGCAGATGCTCTAGGGAGCCTGGCTACTTCCTCCCCAAATACTCACTTGTCAGGAAAAAACACCACCTGTTCACCTGACAGTGTGTTGGGGACATTTTGATTATTCGTGAAACCATCAATCCAGTGACATTTGCTGAGTGCCAGGCATTAGAATTCAACAGCAAGCAATCAGACACTTGCTTACTTGAGGGAGACAGATGCAGCAAGCAAGCATGACCCTGTCTGTGCTCTGGCTCATCTCGGCTCAAACTTGAG